GAAGATTCCTTCAAGTGGTTACAAACTACATATCAAAGTGAATATACCCTTCACGATGTGCAGGGTATAAAAAAGCTCCTTTGAAATACGATAAATCATCCGATACAAAGCCGATAAATAAATTTCATAATACTAGCATTACAATAACTATCAAAAATATGGTGTATCGTGCAATATATTTTTTATACCTGTACGAACGGATGTTCGTATACTGGTATTACTAATACGGGTATACTAATTTTGCCTTACCGTTTGTAACGCTAAGAAATAATGCTCTGAGATATAGACTCAAGTGTATGTTTTTGATCAGGGTCGAATTATGAGTTGATTTAGCTTTGTCTGATTGAGCTAAGTCCACCACATTTTCCAAATGATTTACTGTAGTAAGTGCCGGAACCCTATTTAAATTGAGCATGATCGTGGTACTGGATCCTTTAGCTGCCATACAGCTTCAAAATTTATTTGGCTATATCTCAGAAACTATAAAAGCTGTAATATTGAAATTTCACGTAAGCGAATATATTAGTAGGGCGGATGTGTTTGATAAAATTCGTTAACATTGTTTGACTCCTTCTGGTAGCTGCCATACAACTTCAATAGTGGTTTGGCACACACAGTATTTTGAAAAACGCAGTACTGAAATTTTGCATAAATTAACATGGTAATATTGCAACTCGAACGCAGTCTGTCCCATAGTCAGTTATTGCATATTTATTCGCACACAGGATAACAAATTCGTACGGGGTATCATAGAGTCGACAAGGTGAACTCCATTTTTTCTTGTTTTATAATAAGGGCCAATATAAAAAATAATTTTTTTTTCGTTTTGGCAAATACACTTAATGGAAAAATTTTGCGTACACTGACCGTTCCTATATATTTTGCATTAAAAAAGGTCAATTATATTGTTTCGAAATTTTAATTTTTTTTTAATAATTTTTATAGAATTTAACATTTCATTTTACAAAAACAAATAACAAAAAAACAAAAAGAAAATTGCATACGAAAAACGAGCAAAAAAGTCTGCGTGCAGCATCTGAATTTTTACACCAATGTGACTTAATTCAGAATATTAGTATAAAGTTGAATTGCCTTTTCTTGCTAAAACTGCTTGTAGCCTTTTTTGGCACAAAATGAACCAGTTTTGAAGTTTCTTCAGTTGTGATTTTTCGCCATTCTTTTGTTATGACATCTTTCAACATTTTTTTAAAAACTTATGGTTCGTTTACGGACCTTACTCTCCAGCATATCTCATAAATATTCTATAGGATTGAGGTCGGGAGATTTGGGTGATGTATGCAATTAATTTCTGACATTATGCAATATCCACAACTTCAAAATTTCAGCGGAATGTTTAGGGTCATTGTAATGCTGAAAGAATATTCTTTCTGAAAACAGAATGTAACCAAATTTCTAAACACTATTCTTTGAATTTTCTTTTAAAATATCTGAATAATCCTCTTTTTTAATAATTGATTCTATAAAATTTAAGACTCCTACACCACTAGCTGCCATACAACCGAAACTTATTACTGCACCTCCTCCATGTTTTACTGTTGGAAGAAGAAATTTATTTTCTTAGGCGCGCTACCACATTTACTACACATCAACTGACGTCCTTTGATTTCAAAAATTCAAAATTTATGTTCATACGAAAATATAACTTTCTCCTAGAAGCTAGGGGGATTGTTAATATGCCTTCTCACGAATTCTATACGATTTAGAGGATTTACTCTATTAATGGCTTTCTACGTACCACTCGGCCTTTATAAGTAGCCTTTTTGCGAATTTTGCACACAGTATTACCGTAAATGTTCTTTTTAAATTTAAATTTAATATATGTGACTAAATCGCGTTTCTCCTTAGACGTCAATTAAGGTGGGCGACCAGAACGGGGCTTAGAGACTAGACAACCTGTTTCTTTAAAATTATTTTTTACTTTTTGTACAGACGAGTGGCTTCTCTTTATGATTTTGCCTATTTCTGTAAAATTTTTACTCACTTTCTCGTTTGTTTTGTTTAAATAAAATTTTTGAATAATTTTCAACTGCCAATTTCAAAAATTAACTTGGCGCAGTACTTCTGACTTTGAATCAATCTTATGTAACATTTAGTTCCTACAAACTCAACTGAAAGTACATTTCTGGGAATTCTCTTCTGAGAATCTGATACTGTACGCAGACTTTTTCTGCTCATTATACCCGTACGAACGTATGTTCGAAGGGTATACTAAATTTGCCTTACCGTTTGTAACGCTAAGAAATAACGGTGTTAGATATAGACTCAAGTGTATGATTTTCATCAGCATCAAATTCTGAGTTGATTTAGCTTTGTCTGTCCGTCCGTCCGTCCGTCCGTCCCAACGATAACTCAAAAACTAATTGAGCTAAGTTCACCAAATTTTCACAAATGATTTATTGTAGTAAGTGCCAGAACCCTATTTAAATTGGACATGATCGGGGTACCGGTTCGGGTAGCTGCCATACAACTTCAAAATTTATTTGGCTATATCTCAGAAACTATAAAAGCTATGGTATTGAAATTTCACACAAACGAATATATTAGTAGAGCCAATATGCCACATAAAAGTCGTTGAAATTACTTGGCTCCTTCTGGTACCTGCCATACAACTTCAAAAATTATTTGGCTATATTTCAGAAACTATTAAAGCTATGGTATTGAAATTTCACACAAACGAATATATTAGTAGGGCCAATATGCCACATAAAAGTCGTTGAAATTACCTGGCTCCTTCTGGTACCTGCCATACAACTTCAAAATTATTTGGCTATATCTCAGGAGCTCTAAAAGCTGTGATATTGAGATTTCACACAAGTGAATATATTAGTAGGGCCGATGTGCTTGATAAAATTCGCTAAAATTTCTTGGCTCTTTCTGGTAGCTGCCATACAACTTCAATAGTAGTTTGGCACAATCAGTATTTTGAAAAACACATAGTACTGAAATTTTGCATAAATTAATATGGTAATACGGCAACTTAAAGTCATAGTCTGCCCCATAATTAAATGGCACATTAGATATTCGCACATAGGATAACAAATTCGTACGGGTATCACAGAGTTGACAAGGTCAACTCTATTTTTTTTCTCGTTTTTCATATAAAATTTTATTTGTTTTTTTATTATTGTTTTGTTTTTTTTTTGTAATATGAAATGTTATATTTTGAAATATAAAATTCTATAACCATTAAAAAAAAATTTAAATTTCTAAACAATATAAATAATTTTTTTTAATGCAAAATATATAGGAACGCTCAGTGTATGCAGACTTTTTCTACTTAGTGTATGTAATACATACATACGCAGTGTATACAAATTACATTCCTTTTTTATTGTGTGAATATTGCCATAAACTACTTTAGTATTTTCAACGTTAAAGAAAGAATTTTTCAAAAAATTTTAAAAAGTTGCGGCGCAAATCGTTAACTGGTGCACCAAATGCAACGTACATAAAATGGAAGAAGTTTTTGGAAACTGACTTTGAAAATTCAAATTCCAATTGTTTACTTTTCTTACGTCAGACGTTTTTAAAACTTGGACTTCAATTCTAAAACAATACATTTTACTTCATATTATTTAATTATTTAGCAAATATTTTAATTTATATTGCACAGAATTATAAGATATAATAAAATAATTTCATTAACAAATTAAGTTATTGATTTCTTTAAGCCTTCAACTAAGGATAATCCTTAAAGTTTTAATATAGTCTTACAATGTTACTTTAATCTTACTTAAATCATTTTTTACTTTGAAACAGCATCGTAATACAATTCTGTCCTTTTTTTCTAAATATCCGTCTTTTACAAACTTTATAAAGTATTTGAGCATCAAGGATAACACTTATTGAACAAAAATGGGAGAAAATGACGTTCTCATTTTCTCAATGTTTAAAATTTTTTCAAGTTTTTCAAGTTACGTCAACAATAACTTTTTTTTTTCAAAACTTTTTCAATAAAAATAAAATAAAATAACCAAAATGACTTTCTATCACAAATGGTTTTTTCTAAGTATCACACTTTTATAAACCAAAATCAAAATTTTCAGTTTTTTTATAACCAAAAAATATTTGCTTATGTTTAATAAATACTTTGAAATTTGGCTTTTATCACATATTTGTGAAGTTTTTAATATTTTTCACGTTTTCTGTCTGGTTTATTTTTCTAATGAAAATTTTTTTTTTTTTGAGAAATTACGTCACTCTTTTTAAAGGTTTTTCGAGCTTATCTCAGACCTTATTATATTATACAAGCCAAATCCTATTGTTGCAAACATCGTGTTGTTTCGTTTATTATGCTCTTCATCTTCAGAAAAAAATCACATAAAAAATGAAAACGCAAAACAAAAATTATTTTGAATTCTTCCAGTATTTTTGGTATGTATGTCATATTATAAATTGTATACAGATTTGTTGTAAAACTTTTTTATTTTTCGTGTTATGCTTATTTTCTCATAAGTTTAATAAGCCTGTTACGCAGCAGAATTGATAACATACATTTTTGTACAATTTATTCTTAATATTTGTTAGGCGGCGATTTGCGTTAACATTTATACACAAGAACCACCAATACAAATCAATAAAATTTTATTATTGCCTCTTCCAAGCACAAATTATTATTTTTCCTTTTTTTTATATAAACTTCAACAACTTATAAAAAAACTAATTATAAAAAAAAAAAAAAACAATTTCCTCTTTTCTTTTCAATTCAAATTGTTAACAATTTATTGATTCCATTAGAAAATTTACTTCTCTTTGACTATGACTTTATATAAACTAAGTATATAATTTCAACATAAAATTTAAATGTGTAAATTCGACGCGACAGTTTTTCTAATACTATGTTCTCGATCTGGAATTTTCCATCCTATTTATAGATCCAGAAAAGATTTATCCAAACGGTTGTGCAACGGTGATGCACCCAGCCAGTCTCACTTTTTTGGTTCATTATTTTTTTTGTATATAGAACTGATGACGCAGTTCACTGAACTTAAAATTTGTTGTTGTAACTACTTTATATTATTATTTACTATTTTACCCCTTTTAATATATTTTTCATTCCATTCGCTCGTTGTTTTTTATTTCACTCCACCACGCTTGACAAATAGCTGAGATGATTTATTTTGATCGATTTAGCCATGCGGCAACACAGATCCAACTGAACAAAAGCTATTGAACGAATTTTTTTTGTCTGCAAAATGTCAATCTTTGATTTATAAAAATAAACAAGTGAAATATGATGTAGTGTTCAAATTTTTTTTTAGAAAACTGCTAAAAATGGTGAGCATAAGAAAATCTGTATGCATTGAGTCTTTGCTGAACATACGAATGTTTAAGTAACGCAGAGAATCTTTAGTTTTAAAGAAAAATTTAAAACAACTGTTCAGTACAACTAAGGTCAAATATAAAATAAATAGAATAAAAATTAACTGCATAAGAAAACCTTTATTTTTAGTCATTTTCACTAGTCATTGAGCCTTATTCTAGTTGTCGAAGTAGAGCGACAATTGTCGTCACGACTTGAATTTGATATTCTAAATGGCGATTACAGTGACACGTGTCGTGGAATAGCGGGAAAATGTGTTTCAGGTATATTCCAGTTGTCGTTGTAGAGCGACACATGTCGTAGTGAAACGACGTTTTTTGTCGAAATGTATTTAACAAGTGACAAGCGAGATGGATACACCAAAAATGTAAGTTTAAACAAAACAATTTAATAAAAATATAAAAAATAATAAATTTTGTAATTTAATACATAAATTAAACCATATAATATATAATTTAATTTTTATTTTTAACTTAAAAGTAACAACAAGGAAGCAATTTGAAGAATTGGGAAATTTTATGACGGAGAACGCCTTTATTGCGAAAGGCCTTAAATTTGCTGAGAATAGCTGCATAAGCAAATGCGAGTTTGATGCGAAATGGAACCAGCTAACAGAAAAGCTTAATAGCTTGGGTCCGCCCATTAGAAGTACTGCAGGATGGCAGAAGGTAATTTTAACATAAGTTTAATTTAAAATTTAATTAATTTATGTAAATTTCAGGTAATTTTCAATAAAGGAATCATGAGATGATCCCGGATTATTAGCATCCACATACCTGGTGCGCATTTTATGATCGCAAACCTTTAAGTCACATTATATTAAAATATTAAAATTGTTGTTTTTTTTTTCAATTTCATTACTCTCGGAGTCTGATGAATCCATAAACCATAATGCAAATGACGACATTTTTTATTTCCCTCGGATTAAAAATATAAATATATACACCGAATTTTTTTTTTTAGTTTGAACTTTACTCGCCAAAATTTCTTTTTAAAATGTATCAATTTCACTTGAAACGTTTCATTTTCGTTTATTTCTCGCAGTCACGTCACTCGACAACTAGAATACCACATTTCAAGTGATGTGACAGCGACAACGACAAATGTCACGTAAGTGACGCGACAACTAGAATAAGGCTCATTACTTATCTTAAATTTTAAATTTTTTTTAAATTTCCGTAATTAGGTGGATCAAAGACAAATTTTACAAAATCTGAGTTGTCTGAGTTTACGGATACTCTACTAGGTTTTTACTCTCAGTCAAAGTTTAAATTCTTAAACGTTTAAAAAAAGTCAATTAAGCGTCAAAATTGTAGATTTTTTTTTTTACATGCAGACAGTCTGACGTAGTAATTCAGTAAATAAATTTGATGTGTTGAGTGACTATCATTACGTTAAAAATAATATAAAAAATATTTTTATTGTTAATTTTTAATATGTAAGTATAAAATTATTTTAAATCTAAAAAATTTTTTTTGTTTTGACGTTTACGGATGATCAAAATTCAAAGTCAATTACGGGTAAAAAGTTTACTAGATTTCTGTCCGTAAAAGTTTTAGTTTCAGACAGTTTGCAGACTAAAATCAAAATTTTGACGTTAAAGAATTTGCGGAAAATAGACATCAACACAGTTATGAAAATTACTTCTAGTCACAAAAAATTAATTTTTATTTGCCTAGTTTTGAGGTTTCTTTACTTAAACCTTTTGAATGCACTTTTTTTAGGGACGTTTAGTCTATACATGTACCCATTTTGACTCTTGTCCTTAAATTTGCACAAAAAAGGGCATACATTTTTATTTTTTAATATTTCCGTAATAAAAACAATTACAGTTTCTTATATTTTCAAATTTTTCGCATTCGCTTTTGACTAACTAATTAGATAATTTATTATGGATCTCATTTTTAAAATATTGCCCAACCCAATAAAAAACTGAGTTTTATTGTAAACTTTACTTTTTAAATATGTAGTTTGATTCCAATTTTTTTCATGTTATTTCAGAGATTTTTGTTAGGTAATGCAACTAAAAGTTTGCAAGTCATACATTACTTTCCGTAAAAAAACTGCAGATAGAAAGTATACCTGACTAAAGGACGATTAAAGGAAAACTTATTTGAATTTTTTTTTTTAAATTTGATTTTGAACATAAGCATTTCAGAAATTAAAATATCTTTAACGCCAAAGATTCGCATTTGAAGAGTAATTTCATGAGTATCTTAGTGCGCGCAGGCAGTTGTTTCAATTATATTTCAAAGTTTATTGCACGAGTTATGAAAATGCAAAAGTTGGACCATTTTCGTAGTCGACATAGAGCTTATATCTCGAGAAGGACACCAAAAACACAATGTCGCTTGCTTTGTGTGCACCTGATTGTATTCTGCCACCCTGCTTCGGAAGTCTGGAACACCAAGTATATTAGATTAAGAAAATACAAATATTGTTCAACACTATACATTTTTCATGTAATAAAAATTGAAAAAATACACATATTTTGCTTCCACAATGCTTGGACAAGCCAACTATGACTCAGTTACCGCAAATTTTAGTTCATCCAGATAATTGTCTATTTGTTTTTCCAAAGCAAGAATGTGGCCAATATTGCAATTTTCATTCCCAATACATGTTACAATCAAAGGTAACTTATTCATTTGGACAACCTAAAATGGAATCCTACACAATCAATGCGCACTTCATGCATATCTAGATACCTGATAATTAGAATAAATAGAAATAATAGTTCTATTTCTCCCTAACCCTAATTTAGTTGCTTGGTCACTGGAGGTAGTAAAAGTAGGAATTAAAGTAGGAAATAAAGCTAAATCCATATTTTTATTGTGAGAAACCCTTAATAATGGCACTCCATCCCTATCAGTTATGAGAATTAAATACAAGTTGTTCACTCTAAAATTAGAAAAAATTCGGGTGATTAATTTTGTTTTAATTTTTTAGATTTATATTTACTGTATTACAAACGTACTTGTTTATCAAATTATTAAAAAATCTTTTTACGTCGTCAGTCATGATTTACTTTTTACAACCTGCTTTACTAATTACAAGTGAAAAAGCTGATGATAAGTTTCATAAAACTGATGATGATAAGTTGGTGAACTATCGATAGCTTTAACGAAAGTTTTTGTATATCGAAAATGGCGATATTTTAAAAGTCGATATAATAACAACTTCAAAAATAGTCGGGTATTTTTGATAATTCAGTTTCATTGTAGTTTGTAAAATTTTTGTCTAAATTTGGGGAGTTCTATAACCAATCTAAATTTTAGTAATTGTACATTAGTTTTTATCATGTTTTCCTTTCATTAACGAAATTTGAAAATTATTTTTTTCTAGTTTTTTGTGCTCATTTTGAATATGTATTGCAATTGCAAACATGAGGCGCTTTTATACCAGTATCAAACATGCTATTTAATCAAAATAGTGATGTTGCTATATAATCATCAAATAGACAGTTTGTCACCAAAAACTTTGCACAAATATATAATTGTAAAATGTTAATTCGAAAAGAAAATTAATAATTTTAAATATTTCATTTCTTTAAAATTTTCTTTAATTCTTGCGTGGATGCGTAAGATAAAAAGCAAAAGCATGTTTTCGTGTTAATTTGGTTGTTGATTATAATAAGTGCAAGGCGAATAATTTTCGTTGTTAATTCAGAACAACAGTGGAACGGCAAAATCAACTGTTTCCATGTAATGCCACACTAGTATAAAAACAGGTTATATAAAAAAAACACGCTAGTAATAAAATAGATATTTAGGCTATTTTGCCGTGGTCAGCTAAATTCAAGGCGGTTATTTTACTTTATTCCGAGCAATCCCATTTCAATGTGTATTTTATATAAATTTTGGCATTTCGCTTTCGAAAAATTGATATTGCTTCAATTTCAACTTAAATTGCAAAATACACAATAACTGATTTTCGGTTTAGTGTCAATATTGCCTACATCCAATGCCATATACTGGCATAGAGGTAGGCTAACGACAAGATAGCAGCAAAATAAAGCAAATAACGGTTTGACATATTCGTTTGGCTACGATTGCAGTTTTTAGCTGTGGGTTTGATCACAGACATTTTTATATTATAAGACATTATAACAGTTTATGGTCTGATACACCAGGGTGTAAGTATTGTGCTACTAAAAATGGGTATAAGTAGCAAAGATTAATTTTCCATTTTAGTATATTATGGTAAGTTGAGTTATAATACATACGATAGGAGAAATTTTAAAACCCGTCCAATATACTCAACCTTCTTAATTCCGAATTACTTAAGTTCTGCTCGGAATATTCGTAATAGAGTATTAATATCAATAGAAATTCAATATCATAAAAAATAGTAATCAATGTAAATTGCATTTTTAGTAAAAATACATGTCAAAAACCTACGAAAGAAATAATCGCACGTAACAAACAATTAAAAGGGAATGGTTGTTTTAAGCAATTAAAAGGGAAATTTTTCTCTAAAGTTACAAATTATCAATTTTATTTTTCCTCTTACGCAGCTATTATAAAGAAAAACGAATTTTTATTTAACGGCCATTTGTTCGTTAAAGTGTTGCCAACCAGAAAAAATACAGCGTGACAACTGGCGGTTCAGGGTTATTAAAAATGGAATCACAAAAGAACACGGCGTTTTTATTGTTGAGCAATACCTTGTAAATAACGAAAGTTTTTTGAACAAAATCATCTTCAGTGACGGGCCCATTTTCTTCTTGATGGCTTTGTTAATTGACAAAATTGTTGCATTTGAAGGTTCAGAAAATCCACAAGTAACTGTTGAGAAACAAATCTATCCACAACGAGTCACGTTTAATAGTGCTTGCTCACGCGATATGACAATCCACCTTTTTGTGCGCAAATTGCAAGATGTCGACGATATGTGGCTTCAACAAGACGGTTCCATATACCATACAGCCCGAGAAATAATTCAATTACTTCATGAGTCATTTCCTAGTCAAGTAATTTCCGTTTTGGTGATCAGAATTGGCCGGCACAATCATACGGTTTAACGCCGTTGGTTTTTTTCTTTAGGGGACTTTGAAACCTAAGGTTATGTCAATAAGCCAAAAAAGAATGGTGCGCGATGTCAGTGAAATTCAGCCATATTTATGTCAGACATTTAAATCATTCTTCCTAAATAAATGCAATCCTAGAAATAGTTTCGTTTATGAATGAAAATAGTTTTAATAGTGTTGTAGGTATACATAGACTGTATTTGAAAGCAGAATTTTCACTTGTTGAAGGGAAAAGTGCTACAATACAAACCATTGGTTTGACCCAACTTTATTTAAGTTCTAGTCAATTTGGTTTTTTGAAAGGAAGAAGTACTAAGGATGCTCTACTTAAATTTTATAGTGAAATTTATAGGGGAGTTAATAAGGATGGTTATAATTCGGCTTTATTTATCGATATTGCTAAAGCATTCGATGCAGTAGATCATATTTTATTGTTGGATAAGCTATGTGACGCTGGTTTTCGAGGTTGTTTCTACATCTGGCTGGAGTCATATTTATTTGAAAGGATGCAATGTGTTAGGGTAGGTGAGTCAGTGAGTGATTTGGCTATTTTACGGACCGGTGCTCCTTAGGGTTCCGTATTAGGACCTATTCTCTTCTTAGCTTTCAAAAATTCCGTGTTTTTTGCAAAATTTTATAGGTAAACCTACAGCTTTTGCTGAAGATAACTGTTTTTCTTACAATAGTCCTACAATTGTTGATTGTATCTCTGATATTAACAACGATTAAGAACTAGTTCGTAAGTGGTTTGCTTTCCATTGCCTGATTTTCAGCAGTAAAAACGAAATTATATTTTTTAATGACCTAAACAGTTTAGATATCTGTTTTTATTCTGAATGTCTTCGGCTTTTAATTTCTAGTGAAGGCCAATTGTTTAATCGCAGGGAAAATTTCTGTTCGAATTTCTTTATCATAGAAATTGTTAAAACTTTTAAACATTTGGGTGGAGTTCGAGTTGTGATCTCAAGGTGAACACATCGTAAAGATTGTTTTCTGAATAAAAGTTAAAGTAAAAAAATATATTATATGCATAATATATATGTATATATATATACCTAACAATAATACTAAATATTTGAAAATTTAGAATTAAATAATTACTTAATAAAATTATTAATTATTAATTTATAATTTTTAAGCAAAATAAGTGCAAACAAAAACAATAAAATGAAAAAAAATAAATAAAAACTTACATGAAAGAACATGTGAAAAAAATAAGAAAAACGTGCCATAGTAATGACATTGTTGTTACCATGCGAAATAAAAAAAAGCAAAATTCTCAACAAGAGACAAAACTCTTAAAAGCTGAGATATTAAGATTAAATGCATTAGTTTCACAACTACAAAAACAATTGCAAAACAATAATATACCAAGCAGTTCAAAGAACTCAACATATTATGAGGAATGTGATAATATTTCTATAAAATCATATTCAACATTATTTGATGATGATATGTGCAGTGATGATCAAAATCATTATGATAAAAATAAAAATAAAAGTAATAATAATAATAACACAAACAATCATGACCACATGCATAATAAAAAAATTGACAATTACATTGATAATCAAAATCAAAATTATAAGAATAATAATCATAATAATAATAATAACATCAATCATGCGCACATGAATAATGAAAAACAACAAAAAAAAATACCACCAATATATGTGTATGATAATCAAATTAAAAACAAAATATCAACTAATGATTTCAAAATAAGAAAAATTAATAAAAACAAATTTGTAATTTATAGTGAAAAATTAGAGCAATATAATAAAATCAAAACTGAACTAACAGAACTCAAAAAAGATTATTTCACTTTTACACCTATTGAAACTAAAAACAAAACATTAATCATAAGAGGACTAGATGCAGAAGATGAGCCATCTAAAATATTAGAAACATTGAACCACATTGGCATACCTGATGTTAAATTTGAAAGTGTTAAGCGTTTCGTTACAAAGCATTCGAAACAAAATCAATATAATACATCATTATTTATTGTTCAAATTTCACCATGCACAAAGATTAATGATGTAAGAAAAATAAGACATATAGAAAACAGAATAATTCAATGGGAAACACTAATAAAAAAATCTAAACTACCACAGTGTACAAAATGCCAGAGACTCGGACACGCAGCCGTAAATTGCAATCTTAAAATAAGGTGCGTAAAATGTGGAGCAAATCATGTACCAGAGAAATGTGAGATCCCAAAAAGGTCAGGAAATGAAAATGAAGCTAATAATACCAAACATAAATTAAAATGTGTTCTATGTAAAAAAGATGGACACCCAGCATCATACAGAGGTTGTGAAAAATATAAAGAGCTTGTTGCTAAAGCAAAAAACTCAAAAAGGAATTTGAATGTAAGTAAAATTCAAACAAATAATAATACATCTCAATTTGTGAAGCCAAATACAACATATGCAGCAATTACAAGAGTGGTGCAGAAGAATGAACTTGAAAATTCACGACAAACTGAACCTCCATGGACAGAATTGGTAAATGAAATTAAATCAATTAATAAAAGATTAAACATATTAGATAATAAAGTTTCAGAACAAAGTAAACAAATAGAAATCTTATTTAGTATTGTTAATGATAGAAATAAGTAGTATTAAAATAATTTCATTAAACATAAACTCTTTAATCTCTCACCAAAAAAGAATAGGATTAACATATTTTTTAGAAAAACATCAGCCTGATATTATGCTTTTAAATGAAACAAAATTGAACTATAGACATAAGCTACATTTCAAGGGTTATACTTTGATTCGGAATGATAGAAGGAATTCCAAGAGAGCTGGGGGAACTGCCATATTAATAAGAGAAGATATGAAACATAAAGAAATTAAAGGATCATTTTCTATGAATAATAGTATAGAAATATCGGCCGTTAATTTAAAAATTAATGCAAGTCAGAACTTATATATATTATCAGTATACTCAGCTAATAATGACAGAAATGAATTTAAAAAAGATTTACAAAAAATTTTTCATGAGTTAAAGTTAGGCAATAACAATAATTATTATGTTATAGCAGGAGACTTAAATGCTAAGCATCAAGATTGGGGAAACAGATACAATAATAGTAAGG